GGCCATAGATATGAGAGTAGATGAATAAACTATTTTAATGTTTATTTAAAACATTAAAATAGTTTATTCAGACACTCCGCTCTGTCGCCCAGGCTGGAGTGCAGTGGCATAAAATAAATTTTACAGACACTCCGCTCTGTCGCCCAGGCTGGAGTGCAGTGGCATAAAATAAATTTTAATGTTTATTTAATAGTTTATTCATCTACTCTATGGTACATTCTATGGTACATTCATACAATGAAGGAATATGCAGCTGTAAAAATTAATGAGGCAATGTTCATAGAAACATAATTCAAAATAATGCATAGGTAGAAACCCAAAAGTCCATCAACTGAAGAATGGATAAACAAAAGGTGGTATATCCATACAATGGAATATTATTCAGCCATAAAAATAAAGCACTGACAACCTGGATGAGCCATGAAAAATTATCCTAAGTGGAAGAAGCCAGTAACAAAATACCACATATTGTATGATTCCATTTACATGAAATGTCCAAAACGGGCAAATTTACAAAGTCAGAAAGTGGATTCATGGTCGCCTAGAGCTAGGGGAAGACAGGATAGGAAGTAATTGTTAATTGCTAATGGATCAAGGTTTCTTTTAGAGGTGATAAAATGTTTCAAAGTGTATTGTAATGATGCCTGTATAAGTCTGTGTATATACTAAAAAACACTGAATTGATACTTAAATGGGTGAATTGTATGGTATATAAATTATATCTCAATAAACATGTTTTTGTTTGTTTTTGAGATGTTTTGTTTGTTTTGAAGTCTCGCTCTGTCGCCCAGGCTGGAGTGCAGTGGCATGATCTTGGCTCACTGCAACCTCCACCTGCTGGGTTCAAGCGATTCTCCTGCTTCGGCTTCCCTAGTAGCTGGGACTATATGCATGTGCCACCATGCCCAGCTAGTTTTTTTTTTTGTATTTTTAGTAGAAATGGGGTTTCACCATGTTGGTCAGGCTGGTCTAATGATCCGCTCACCTCGGCCTCCCAAAGTGCTCAGTACAGGCGTGAGCCACTGACCCTGGCCTCAATAAAGATGTTTTTAAAAATGAATGAAGATCTCTATGAACAGATATGGGATGATTTTCAAAACAACCTTTCAACCTATTTGGTTTTTGTTTTTGGAGATGGAATCTCAATTGGTCGCCCAGGCTGAAGGGCAGTGATGCAATCTCAGCTCACCGCAACCTCCACTTCCCAGGTTCAAGCGATTCTCCAGCCTCAGTCTCCCAAGTAGCTGAGATTACAGGTGCCTACCACCACACCCAGCTAATTTTTGTATTTTTAGTAGAGATAGGATTTCACCATGTTGACTAGGCTGGTCTCAAACTCCTAACCTCAGGCGATCCACCCACCTCAGCCTCCCAAAGTGCTGGGATTACAGGAGTGAGCCACCCCACTCCACCTAAAACATACTATTAACTGAAAAAAGCAAACACAATTATCTATAGCATGTCACCCTTTGTATAAGAAAGAAGAGGATATGAGAAAATACACAACTATAACACAGGGAGAAATGCCAGATGTAGGTGACAGGGGGATGGAGGCAGCAAACCACATTGTCATGTGTGTACCTATGCAACAATCCTGCATGATCTGCACATATACCCCAGAACCTAAAGTACGATAAAAAAGGAGAAAAAAAAAAGAAAATATAATTTTAAAAAAAGAAAATACACAGCTATCTGTTCACTTGTGCAAAAGAAATATGAGATAATCCAGATACCAAAGTTAGATGTACGGGGTATATAGGGAAGGGGTGAAAAGAAGGGGCAAATGGGAACAGGGCACTAGGCATGAGGAGGAAAGTTCTTTCAGTATACCTTTGTGTGTAGCTCTAACTATCAGAAATCAGTCATAATTCATACCCCAAAAATAAACTAAAATCAACTAGGATATAGGGGGAACTCAAAATGAAATACAAACACTAACAATAAACCTAACTATTACAACTAACATGGCCACTCTGAAGGGCATGAGGAAGAAAAGAACTAAACTAAGTAACTGTGAGAAACAGTATCTTGACTGGATACTGTGAGGCTGAAGACAAAAAGAACTGTGATTCCAGGGTTGGGACAGAGAAAACACAAGATGAACCTGGAACATCTTTAGGTGTCATAAAGTAAGTGCCCAACAACAACAATAACAAAAAGATGATGGCCGGTTGATAGGCTACAGAAGCCAACCTGAAGGAGACCTTCAACTGAATAGCCAATGCTGGAGCAGTAAGCAACAAAATAATGACAGTGAATTTTAACTCACAGAATACAATGCATATCCCTGGCCTACACTAATACAAACAAATAAAAAAAGAGAGAGTGGATAGTTCTTCTTTCAGTGGAACTTGACTTAATAAATAAATGTAGAAGGAAAGAGAAATAATTACCTTCAGGCAAACACCACAAAGAACTGCAGATGGAGGCTAAAGTCAGTGGGCACAAACTCGTAGAGAACCAAACTTTGCATCCTCTCAAAGTATGTCTCCCAATAGACTCATTAATTAAAAAGGGATACTAAGTTTATGGTGTAGAAATCGGGCAGACACCAAGCAAACAATAGATCAAAATATCACCAGTAATAAGACATACCAGTATCCTGGACTCCATCTGATGCACTGAGAAAGACACCAAGATAATGCGTCTTTGCGTTATTCTGGCCAACAATGCATAATCTCACCCCAATCATTAGAAAACACTGGATAAACCTTTAAATTGAGAGACATTAGACAAAATAACTGATCGGTAGTCTTTAAAAGCATCAAAGCCAAGGAACACAAGAAAAGTCTAAGGAAGTGTTATGGACCAACGAGAAATAACTAAAATGCAACATGGGTTCTTGGATAGAATCCTGGAATGAAACCGCAACCTTAATTTTAAAAATGGTAACATTCATATCAGTCTGTAATATAGTTAATAATGCTGTACCAACACTAGCTTTCTGTTCTTGATAATTGTATTATAATTATGTAAGATGTTAACATTAGGGAAAGCAGGGTGAGGGACATAAGAGAATGTTTTGTATTGTTGTTGCAATTTTTCTCTAAATCTAAAATTAGCTTAAAAAGCTTAAAAATAAATAACCATGCCAGGCATGGTGGCTCACGCCTGTAATCCCAGCAGTTCAGGAGGCTGAGGCAGGCAGATCACCTGAGGTCGGGAGTTCAAGACCAGCCTGAGAAACCCCAGGCTGGAGGTTTTTATAGGATGGAGAAACCCCATCTCTATAAAAAATAAATTAATAAATAACCATTTGGATTATACATTTATCATCTGTAAGCAATGTGAGGACGGTGACCATTTATGTATTGTTCACCACAAACCCAAGAAACTCACTAAAAGGAGCTTTAAAAAAAAAAATAGCTATTGAAAATCATGAAAAAGAAAATTATCTATTCATTTCTGACTCCCAGCCCAGCAGCTGCGTTTCCTCAGATAGCAGCACATTCAGCAGACTTACTAGTCTAAGCTAATAAGTTATCAAACCTGTTAGAGTATGGTTTCCATGGCCTCAGAACACATGATAAAGGATAGCACATTTTGAACACCTCAGCACCCTGATCCAGAGTGTTAACTGGGGGTGTTTTCTGGCCTGGAAGGTGGGGAGCCTATGTCTTAAACCCAGTTGGCACTGCCCTGGCTGCGGGACTGACATGACACAGATGCCTGTCTCTGGGTCTCAGTCCCCTCATGTATGAGGCAGGCTAACCAGCCCAGGAGCAAAGAATGGGTTTTACATTGTTTTTAATATTTGGAAAAAAAATTATGACACATGAAAATTACATAAACAATATATACGATTAAAATTTCGGTCCCCATAATTAACACTTTATTGCAACACAGCCACTCTCTTGTGTATTGTCCTTGGCTGTATCCACACATTGCCACACTTGAGCAGACAGAGTACGCTCCCCGCCAAGGCTAAACTACTATGAACAGTATTATACTCATTATATTTACCCTATAACAATGTAAACATTAATATATTTACAACAAAGTTTGAGGACTGCTGAACGAGACCGTTCTAAGGACATTCTATTTCTAACCACAATAATCACACAGAAGGAACATGGAATCCGACGGTCCCACATTTATTACCTGTACCCAGGTCCTGAAGAGTTCAGTAACTCCCAAAGCCACTCGTGCAGACACCTTGGGAATGTCAGGTGAGTTTCATCTGGCCAGGGCCGGCCTCCTGCGGGGAGGCAGTGAGCAGAATAGTCAAAATTTTCAGTCTAGAGTCGCGCTCACCCACTGGGTGGCTTGTAGCAAGTCATTTCACCTTCCCTCGGCCTCAGTTTCCACCCCTGTAAATGGCACTAATAACGGCACTCACCTCGCAGGGCTGCTGTGAAGGTGAAGCGAAAGTCGCGAGTGAAGGGTTAACGCTGGGCTTTGCATCCAGCAGACAGCAAATCAATGGTGGCTCCTGCTGTTATTGTGAACCACCCCCCAAGGCTGAAACCCATTCTAGGCACCTCAGGGCGGCGGCGAGAGCCTTAAAGAGGCCCGCGAGGCAGCCAGAAAGCCCGGCCTCAGTTTCCCGGACTGTGGCTCTAGAGCTGCCCGCGAAACCCCCAGCGTCCTCACGTAACCCAGCCTCGCGCCTGCAGCCCCCCTGACCCGCACCCCCGGCTCTGCCCAGCGTCGCCCCCAACCCCGGCACAGCCTTCAATCCAGCCTTCCAGGAACTCACCAGGCGTCTCCACAGCAACAGCCAGCCCTTCCCGACCACCACGCCAGTCGGCTGGGCGCCTGACAATAAGGCGCGCTCCTATTGGCTCCGGTGCCGGCTGCACCAACCAATCAGTGTGGGCACACGCGCCCCTCTCCCGCCCTATCGGACTAGTTCGCTGGGACCCTGCAGACAGCTACCCTTGGAGCGGTGTGTGTCTGTGAAATCTGTGAAATGCGGGAGTGGAGCTTGTTGGTTCCGGATTCCCGCTCTTGGTCCTCGCGTGCTGGAGGCTCAGAGCACCAGCTCTCAGTCGGACTCCCAGCTGCACAGCTGGCGCCCTGAGCAGTCGCTAAATGATGGGCGGTGTATGGTCTTGTAGGCTGACTGACGGCTCCACACGGCTACCCCCGGAAGACCAAGAAAAGAGGAAGATGATCAACCCCTACAGCGCCTAACTCTTCTAACAACAGAAGAACTAACATTCTAATATTGTTTTCTTATTCCGGCCCCAATTGATAAGGCCATTGGACTTTGAAACTGACTTTCGTCAACCTCGTGACTCGAGACCCTGCGACCCCCACCCAGCTTGCAAAAACCCGCCCTAACCTGTAACTTCTGTAACTTTACATTGCTTACCCCAAACCTATAAAACCAACTCCTACCGCACCGCCCTCTGCTGATTCTCTTTCCTGACTCAGCCCACCTGCATCGGGTGACTAAACAGCCTCGCTGCTCACGCAAAGCCTGTTTGGCCGGGGTCGGGGGAGGGGGTCTCTTCATTCAGAGAGCGTTTCAACATTTGGTGCAGAAAACCCGGACAAGGATACTCCTGTGGGGAGACCAGCCCCCTGTCCCCTCTTCCCCCTCTGGGAAGAGACCCACCTGAGACCTCGACACATCAGACCAGCTCAGCAGCTCCCGCTTAGCGTGAGGAACAGCCACCTTCAGATTGGGTAAGCAGTCTCCCCCCATTTCTCTTTTCCTTTAGAGAAGGGGAACAACTGTCTCTCTCTCCCTCTCTCTTTTTCTTCAGAGAAGGAGAGACATATCTCTTCCTCTCTCTTTTACTTCAGAGGAGACAATTCTTTCCCTCTCTTTCTCTCTTTTCCTTTCAAAGCTATCTCCTTCTAGTAGAGAAAAAGGAGACACGCTATCCGTGTGGAGCCAGAGGAGACAAGTCTCTCCCTCTAGCTCACAAACTGACGTGGTCATGGACTCTGGAAGACAGTCTTCCCTTGGGGTCTGGTCAATCGCACGGACGCCTGCCTTCCACATTACAGTCCAAGAATCCGTCAGGGATGCCTACTGAAAACCCTGGTAGCTGCTCGCCTCTTCTCCTGGTCTCTACTCCTTTCCTTAAAACTTATCTCTGGCCAGGAGCGGTGGCTCACGCCTGTGATCCAAGCACTTTGGAGGCCAAGGCGGGCGGATCACCTGAGGTCGGGAGTTCAAGACCAGCCTGACCAACATGGTGAAACCCCGTCTTTATATATATATATATATATATATATATATATATATATAAACTCCTTCGCTATGGGCAGTATTCCGCCCTCTATTCCTCAGTCTTCCCCTCTAGCCTGTGTCCTAAAAAACCTAAAACCTCTTCAACTGTCGCCCGATCGGAAACCTAAAAGTCTAATTTTTTCTGTAATACAGACTGCCCTCAATACAAATTAGACAATGATTCCAAATGGCCAGAAACTGTTCACTGGGCCAGGCGAGCCCACAGCCTGGGGCTCCATCCTGCTTCAAATGCCAAAAGCTTGGACATTGGGCTAACAAATGCTCACAGCCCAAGGCCCCTTCCAAGCCGTGTCCTGTCCTTGGGGAACCCCACTGGAAATCGGACTGTATGGCTCATATTACAGCCACTCCCAAGGCTCCTGGAGTTCAAATCCAATATTCTCCAGCTGACTCCTTTCCAGAACTTCTCAACTTAGCAACTGAAGATTGACGCTGCCAGACTGCTTTGGAAGCCCCCTGGACCATCATGGACTCCGAGCTTCAGGTAACTCTTATGGTGAAGGGTAAGTCCATCTGCTTCTTAATCAGCACGGACCCACCCATCCCACACTGACTTCTTTTCAAGGACCTGTCTCCTTGGCCTCCATAACTGTTGTGGGAATTGACAGCAAGGCCTCCAGGCCTCTCAAAACTCCCCAAGTCTGGTGTCGATTAGGCCAGCGCTCCTTTCCACATTCTTTTCTAATTATCCCCGCTTGTCCAGTTCCCGTGTTAGGCTGAGATATCCTAGCAAAATTGCCTCCTTCACTATTCCTGGGCTACAGCCACACCTCATTGCCGCCTTCCTCCCAGAACCCGTACCTCCCTCAATAGCTCCCCTTACGTCCCGCTACCTTAACCCTAGGGTGTGGAACACCACCTCCCCATCCCTTGCTACAAGTCATTCACCCCTCATCATCCCCTTAAAACCTAACCACCCTTACCCTGTCCAGCACCAGTACCCCATCCCACAACAGGCTTTAAAGGCCTAAAGCCTGTTATCATCCATCTATTACAACGTGGCCTTTTAATTCACCCTCCTGCTTCTTCAGCATCTATACTCAAAGGAGTATCACGTATCCCCTTCCAAAGCCCAAATTTCTTCCCCTATCCTATCTATACAAAAACTAGGCAAATCCTACAGGCTAGTCCAAGACCTATAAAAGGAAGCCTGTCTGACCCCATAGACCAAAAATCCTTCCCCAATTCTTCCTTCCGTTCTCTAAAAAAGGCCTTAGAGACTGCTCCTACTTTAGCACTCCCCAATTCCTCTTGACCCTTCTCTTTCTACACAGCAGAAATAAAAGGCTGTGCCGTCGGAATTCTTACACAGGAGCCAGACCCACGGCCTGTAGCCTTTTTATCCAAACAACTTAACCTCACAGTCCTCGGCTGGCCCTCATGCCTACGAGCAGCAGCAGCTACCACCCTGATACTCTTAGAATCCCTCAAAATCACAGGTTATGCCCCACTTACCCTCTGTAGCTCTCACAACCTCCAAAGTTTGGTTTCTTCTTCACACCTTACACGCCTACTATCCACCCCTCACCTCCAACTGTATTCACTGTTAATTGAAACACCCACTGTAACCCTCGCTCTCGGTCTTTCTTAATACCTAACACAAACTCTGAACCCCATGACTGTGTCTCTCTAATCCATATAGCATCCTCCCCATTTCCCCATACTTCTCTTTTTCCTATTCCAGACCCAGACCACACATGGTTTATTAATGGCAGTTTCTTCAAGCCCAGTCAGTTGGCACTGGCCAAAGCTGGCTATGCTGTTGTATCCCACTGCTCTATCATCAAGGCTGCCCTACTTCCCTCTCTTACCACTTCTCAGCAAGCTGAACTGCTGGCCTTAACCCATGCTCTTACTCTTTCCAAAGAACTACATGTTAATATCTATTCTGACTCTAAGTACGCCTCTCACATCTTACACCACCATGCTGTTATATGGGCAGAAGGAGGTTTTCTCACTACACAAGGGTCCTCTATTATCAATGCCCCTTCAATAAAGGCCCTCCTTAAGGCTGCTCTCCTTCCAGCCAAGGCTGGAGTTATCCACTGCAGAGGACTCAGGATTCAAGCCACTCCTAAAGAAGCCACAGGGTATAGCCCCTTGGAACTCCTATATGGCCACACCTTTCTGCTTGGGCCTAACCTTATTCGAGACACCAGTCCTCCAACAGGCCAGACATGAAATCCACCAGTCTGCTAATTTCCTCTTACCACTCCAGGTACCTGGCCATATGAAAACACCCTAGCTGGAAGGTCAGCCCTAGTTAAAAGCCTCACCCCTTGGTCTCTGCAACCTTGGTGGACAGGACCCTTCCTGATCGTCTATAGTACCCCAACTGCTGTTGGTCTACCCTCTCCAGTGGGTCCATCATTCCAGGATAAAGCTGTGGCCATCAGACAATCGGCCTGACTCCTCCGCCTCCTCCTGGAAGTCGCAAGTACTGTCTCTCACTTCTTATAAACTCACCCATGTGCCCAAGGTGGAAGAGTAACCCTATACAAACCTAACATACCTTTTACTTTCACTAGGCATCTTTTTCCTAACACCACTATTTAACACGGTCGCCCCTACTACTTAAACTACACCTCAGAAAGTCTGTTTCTATTTTCTAACTGCGCTGAAATTCACGGTACTCATTTACTTTTACACGCCCTGCTTTTGTTTAAGTTGCTAGTTAGGCCGGGCACAGTGGCTCACGCTCATAATCCCAGCACTTTGGGAGGCCGAGGCAGGTGGATCACAAGGTCAAGAAATCAAGACCATCCTGGTCAAACCTGGTAAAACCCCCGTCTCTACTAAAAATACAAAAATTAGCTGGGCGTGGTGGCACCCACCCGCACCTGTAATCCCAGCTACTCAGGAGGCTGAGGCAGGAAAATCAGTTGAACCTGGGAGGCAGAGGTTGCAGTGAGCTGAGATCACACCACTGTACTCCAGCCTGGCGATAGAGCGAGACTCCATCTAAAAAAAAAAAAAAGTTGCTGGTTTACACTTTTCCTCCAGGCAGTTACAAGTGATACTTCATGGTTTTACCCTCAGCTTGCCACCCTTAATTCTCTTAGAGTGGATAATCTTCAGTGGCAGGGAACTCTCCAATTCTTCCACCCGGATAAAGTCCTCTTCTTTTATACTCACTCTTTTTTTTTTAATTGAGACCGTTTCACTCTTGTTACCCAGGCTGGAGTGCAATGGCGCAATCTCGGCTCACACAACCTCCACCTCCTGGGTTCAGGCAATTCTCATGCCTCAGCCTCCTGAGTAGCTGGGATTACAGGCACGCGCCACCATGCTCAGCTAATTTTTTGTATTTTTAGTAGAGACAGGGTTTCACCATGTTGACCAGGATGGTCTCGATCTCTTGACCTTGTGATCCACCCGCCTCGGCCTCCCAAAGTGCTGGGATTACAGGCGTGAGCCACCGCGCCTGGCCCTTTTCTACTCACTCTTAATCTCACTCCCATTCTCTGCTCATACCCAATCTTGTTAATGAAAGTGAGCAGTTCTAGATAGCACACGCTTCCTCATACACCATGAAAACAAATGCTCTCCTCCACAGTTACCCTACCAAACTCCATTGCAACCTTTAACAGCTGCCGCCCTTGCTGGTTCCCTTGGCATTTGGGTCCGAAGCCCACCCCCTCAGAACACTTACTTGCCTTTTCAGTTCTGTTTAAGCCAAGGACTTTTTTCCTCGGTGGTTCTCCTTCTTACATCTGCCTTCCTACCAACCGGACAGGCACTTGTACCCTAGTTTTCCTTACTCCCAAAATTCAGTTTGCCAATGGAAACGAAAGCCTCCCTGTTCCCCCTGTGGTCCTGACACAACACAAGCAGATCATTCCATTGATCCCCTTACTTGTAGGGTTAGGAATTACTACTGCACTCGGCACGGGCACAGCAGGCCTTACCCCTTCAATCGTCTCCTCCCGTAGCCTCTCTAATGGTTTCTCTGCTAGCACTGCAGAATTACCTCAATCATTATCCCTCCTTCAAGCTCAAGTAAATCCCTGGCTGCAGCTGTCCTCCAAAACCGCAGAGGTCTTGATTTACTGACTCCTGGAAAAGGAGGTCTTTGCCTATTTCTAAATGAAGAATGTTGTTTTTATGTAAACCAGTCTGGCCTTGTATATGATGCCATCAGTAAATTAAAAGACAGAGCCCAAAAGCTTGCTAATCAGGCAAATGGTTATTCTGGACCTGACTGGACTGGCTGGACACTCTCTAACTGGGAGTCATGGCTTCCTCCAATCCTTAGTCCTCTGATACCTATCTTTCTCCTTCTCTTATTTGGACCCTGTGTTTTCTGATTAATCTCTCAATTCCTACAAAATCGTATCCAAGCTATAACCAGTCAGTCAATATGCCAAATGCTCCTTCTAACAACCCCACAATATCAACCTTTGCCCCAAAATCTCTCAGCAGTCTAAATTCTTTCCCATTTTTAGGTTTCTGAGCTGCCCCCAAGCCCACTCAAAGAAGCCCTGAGAAGCATCGCCCAATCACCCCTCTGGGCCGGCCTTCCTGATATTCCTCTGCCTTCCATTCTTCACTTCTTTTTCCTTTATAGTACTAATATAAAAAGACAGGAATGTAAGGTCTTTTAGGCTGACTGACGGTGTCATATGACGACCCCAGAAGACCATGGAAAGAGGAAGATGATCAGTCCCTGCAGTGCCTAACTAACTTGAGACATTCTTCTATTGTTTCTTGTTCCAGCCCTGATTGATAAGGCCATTGGACTTTGTAACTGACCTTGGTCAACCTCATGACTCCAGACCCTGCAACACCCTCCCAGCTTGCAAAAAACTACCCTAAACTGTAACTTCTGTAACTTTCCACTGCTTACCGCAGACCTATAAAACCAGCTTCTACCGCACTGCCCTCCACTGATTCTCTTTTGACTCAGCCCACCCGCACCCGGGTGAATAAACAGCCTTGTTGCTCACACAAAACCTGTTTGGGGAGTCTCTTCCTTCAGAGTGAGAGTTTTAACAGGCTGTGTGTTATTACCTACAGCTGTGGGTTATTACCCGGCTCCACAGCTTGCTAAATCATGAGCAGTTGCTAAATGATGGGCTGTGTGTTATAACCAATCTTTTGGCTTCCCTGGGCCATGTTGGAAGAATTGTTTTGGGCCACACATAAAATACTAACACTAAGGATAGCTGATGAACTAATAAATAAATAATAAAAATAAAAGTCACCAAACAATCTCAAATATTTTAAGAAAGTTTGTGAGTTTGTGTTGAGCTACATTCAAAGCCAAGCCCTCCAGCAGGTTGGAAAAGCTTGACTTAGAACCAGGGAGGAAAAGCATCTTCATTCATTATATTACCTGTGCCTCTCCTCTTTCCAAAACAGATTTGAAGCCCAAAAGTCACAGATACAATAGAATATTGAAACAAAATGAAAAAAAGAACAAAACCTGGGAAATGAGCTAGGAGGGGGTGACAGGTGGTGTCAGAATTCCAGAGCTGAAAAAGGTGACATAGTTGAAGGCTTCTGTCACGGCTAGACAGTACTCTCTTGGGAGCTATAACAATAATAAAGCATTGTGGGGAAGAACTTTACACTGTGGTTGAATTCATAGCTTCTTGAGTCTAGCAAGGATGATTTAAATAGGAATGAATGTTGGGGCCTTTTTAACCTTGAAGACAGTAAAAGCATGGTGAACAACTCAGTTCAGTACGGTAAAGCTGCACTGATAAGCTAGAAGTTTTGAAAATTGATGAGTCATCAACCTTGACTGAGTATTGGGGTAAACAGTATGGCAGAGGGGATGAACAGAAGCATAAATAGATGGTTTCAAAGCTACATGGATAACTCTCAGCCTCGGTGCAGCTTCCACTCGAGCCTTAGCATGAAAGATGTGCTGGAAAGAAACAGTTGAAAATAAGTGGGAAGGGTGGTCCAAGCAGCAGGAAGCTGTGTGGGGCGGGTCCCGAGGTGAGAAACATGAAGATCATACAGGAGTGTCAGCCAGCAGTGTTACCATAAGGCAAAGCTCTGGGCCACAGTGTGGGGAGAGCACTCTGGAGAGGTGGGAAGAGCCCACAAGCAAGCAGAGTCAAGTCACAGTCACAGACACAAGTCACAGACACAAGTCAGTCTTGCCCATGCACCACGATGTACCAGTCTCTCATTGTGGGGTATCACCCAGAATTCTTTGTCTCATGGCCAAGAAAATTAGAGTGTGGACACAAAGGGTGAGGTTAGAGTACAAGTTTAATAAGCAAAAGAAGAAAGCTCACTGCAGTGGAGGGGGGCCCAAGGGGGTTGCCTACTTTGAGGCAAAGAGGTTTTTATGGACTGGGAAGGGAAGGAATGTGCTGACTGGTCTTGGAGGAAGTGCTACTCAGCTTGACCCAGACCTTGACAGGGACTAATCCGGAGCTGAAGCGATAGCCTGGCCCAGGACCAATCAGGGGCTGAAGTGATGATCACAGAGGCTGGGGTCACAGTCTAAAGCATGTCCAAGAAAGGAAAGTGCCTACTGGAAGCCACTGGAGCCCACTGGGTACATGCCCACAATAGCAGAAGAGACTACTTCCTGGAAGCCCTCTGGTTATACAAAGGACAAAGCCATTTCTATGCTGGGTCTTGTTCCCTTATCAAAGTAGCTGCAGGCATGTCTTAGGCACAAACATCAAAGGGGTTTCTGTGTTGCGCCTTGTTCCTTTATCTAAGTGGGCCGAAGGTTTGCAACTTTCCTTATCTGTGCCTGCAGCCTGATTTTTCAGGCTGTTTCTCTCTTTAAAGGAGTTTTACCAAGAACCCACCCTTATTACCCAACTTTTCTCTCTCAATATCACTCTCACTACAGTGAGGATGGCAGATTTAACATGGGGATTCTAGATGGAAGACTGTTGCCTTATGGTCTTGGGAGAGTTAGGCCTGAATCCCATCCTTGGAGACTGCAACAATTCATTCATATGAAACCCAAACACTCTGGGAAGCAGAACACCATGAAACACACTTGCAGAGGAAAGAGTGCAAAATAGCTGGGCCAGGGGGCTGGGGCCAGGGGAAGGAACTCCAAGGTCCAGCTCTTAATGAAAGTCCTTCGCAGTGGTCAGGTACAAACACAGCAGGAACAGGCATATTCCATTAGAAACTGACTATTAACTATGTAGACTGCACAGGCTGAAAATCTGAATTTGGCGATTCATTGGTGTGCTAAACACAAGGATCATCAAATGTTCATGCAGGGAAACAGTGACCACACGGTGTCCAAAGATCATTAGAGGAAAACTCTGCATAGTACATGTGGAAGGCTACAGAAATGAAGACTCCCTTTGGCCTCCCCCTACACCATTCCTACATACATTGACATTGAACCGACTGAGAGGGTATTTAGATAAAAGGGTGGGAACCTCATTCATTCAGTTGAAATGCAGTTTCAACACTGACATTGCATTTCCAGGTTAGGCATCCTGGGACATGGGTTTTACAAGGTGCCCAGCTCCAGAGAATTGTCAGTGAGAGTTAAGAGAGACGATGAAGTTACTTTCCCTGGAATGCCCAGAGAAGGTCCCTGAAGCTCAGCCTGCCCTGTTCTCCAGACAAGAACAGCAGACTATGGATAGGAAACAGCCCAGCATGGGCAGAGAAGGGCTGAGCAACCCCTGGAGGTCCAGACCTCTGGGGAGGGCGGGTGGGAGGAGCAGCAATGGGGATCCTGCTGTTTCTGGAGCCGCACTCACCCCCCTGCCACACCATTTACTTTTGCCAGAAAGAACGGCATCCCTTCTCAGCTGCAGCCTGTGGAGTTGGCTTGGGGTGAGCCAGGTGGCTGAGCGGGGCCTCATGGAGTAGGTGCCAAGGACCAGGCCCTACACTGAGCCTTTTCTCCTTTCTGCCCACCAGGGGACCACCTGAAGCCAGAGTTCCTAAAGGTGAACCCCTTTGGGGAAGGTGCCTGCCCTCAGAGAAGGTGACTTCCTAATAGCAGAGAGGTAATGGTGACCTGGTGCTCACCCAGGGTCACAGCCAGGATCTGGGGCTCAGAGTTGTAGGGGGGAGGCAGAGGTAAGAGGGGAGACTTTTCAAATCACTGCAGCCCCCTCCTCATTTCAGCCTGTGCAGCTCTGAGGCAGAGGCTGGACCCGAGGGGTTAAAGCTGGAGCCTGAACCAACTGGAGCTGCCCAGGTGAGGAAATGACGTAGGTCACCAAGATAACCCTTCTGGAATCCTCCAGGGATAATTCTCATTGCCTCTTGCTCATTCTACATCCTGCAAAGCCCCTTTCGTCAGGTTCTGCAAGGGAAGTCAGGCCCTAGGAATTCCCATGCATAATCCCTTCTCAGACAGGGTATCTGTGAGGGGGCGCCACAGAGCACAGACACACGTGGCAGGGGAGATAGTATAGTTACAGCTGCCCCACCTTTGCCACAGGCCTCTCCCCAGCCTACTCCTGGGCCTCCTTAGAAAGCTTGCCTCTATGAGAATTGCAGGCTCCCTGGTCTTGTGAGAATTGAAGGTTCCCTGGGCTTATGACAACACAAAGGGAAACAAGAAGTTCCAGAATACAGGGACCCAGGGCCAAATGGGAGAGGGCACAGGGCCAGGGGCCCTGGCCAGACATAGAGACCCAGGTCTGCAGCTGGCCAGTTGTGGCTGTGGTGCCTGGCACCGTCTCAACATGGCCCTGGAGCTCTACATGGACCTGCTGTCAGCACCCTGCCGGGCTGTCTACATCTTCTCGAAGAAGCATGACATCCCGTTCAACTTTCAGTTTGTGGATCTGCTGAAAGGTCAGCTTCTACTGCCACCCAGAAGGCCTGGTCCTTGGGGGAGGCAGGGCATACAGCTTGGGACTTTCTTTTTTCTTGTTTCTTGATGGAGTCTCGCTCTGTCACGCAGGCTGGAGTGCAGTCGCGCTATCTTGGTTCACTGCAACCTCCACTGGGTTTGAACTGAGTCTCCTGCCTCAGCCTCCTGGTAGCTAGAATTACAGGTGCACACCACCACATCCAGCTAATTTTTAGTGTTTTTAGTAGAGACCGGCTTCACCATGTTGGCCAGGCTGGTTTCGAACTCCTGACCTCAAGTGATCTGCCCAACTCAGCCTCCAAGTGCTGGGACTACAGGCATGAGCCACCACGTCCAGCCTGATTGGGGCATTTCTGAGAACTAGAGACAGAGACAAGGGAGTCCCCCAAGAGGTCTGCAGGGAAGGAAGAGAAGCCAGGGGGCTTGTAGGCTGCATCCCTGTCTAGCCTTCCTTAGCCAGTCCACACTAATGACAGTCCTTATGCCAGAGGTGAACAGGCTCTTCTAGGGGAAGGGGGAAGGAAGAGCGGCTGGGACTCCCTGGGCTCTCACCAGGTGCCCTCACTTCCTTGTGGGAGTCTAGGACCTTGTGAACACAGCACCTGCTTGCCAGGTTGGCAGAGGGGGCAGAAGTGCACAGTCTGTCTACACCCATCCTCCCCAGTGTTCCAAATGGCTCAGGGCTCCACTGACCCCTAGTGAGGGTCAGAGGGGTGGGTTCCAACTCCATCCCGGGCACACAGGGGCTCCAAGAGTTCAGCCTGCAAAAGCAGAAGCCTTTGGAGCACAGAGGAAGACACAGAAGCTGTGGAAATGAACAGGGTGCGAGTGGAGCCCTGGAAATGTTTCCAACAGGAGGCAGCTGGTCCAGGAAGAGCTTCAGTTCCTGGCCCCACATCAGGTTCCCCATTCAGACAACCCTGATTGCATCTGAGGGGCTCCCCTTTGGATGTCCAGCCATGCGCTGGGCCCAGCTTCCTTAAAGCGAGGACAGAGTGAGGGTGATGGGAGCGGGGCTGGGACCCAGGCCCTCAGGGCTTCAGGTGATTCAGAGGCTGTGGCTGCAGATCCTGCTTTGTGGGTGGGCACTAGAAGCCTCCAGCTTCTGGGCCAAAGGGTCATCCTGGTCCTGGGACACAGGGAGGAGGCACGGGAGTCACCAGCCCTAGAGTGGGGCAGGCTGGGAGCCAGCAGTTATTATCCCGGTCTGGTTCTGCCACTGCCTTGCCCTGTGACCTGGGGTAAGCCACAATGTCCCTCCAGCCCTCAGTTCCTTCTTCTTGAGAAAAGAGGGGGGCATTTGTGTCTCTAGGAGTCTCAGTTCTCTCTCCCCTGCAGTCCCATAGCCTCAGACCTTCCCTGCTCCTCCCAGGTCACCCCTACAACAAGGAATACATTAAGATCAACCCCCTCAGGAAGCTGCCCAGCCTCAAAGACGGGAAATTTGTCTTAACTGAAAGGTGAGTCTCCCCCAGGGCCCTTGCACTGTCTCTGTTTCTCCTGGGAGACTCAGTGGGAGCATCTGTCTTTTTACCACGGAAAATCTCACATGCACACTAAAGTTGAGTGAATGCTGATGAACGAGGGTCATAATGAACCCCACAGACCCACCTCTGACCGCTGCCAATTTGGGGTCCATTTTACATCAGTTCTGTTCCCCTGCCTTCCAGACACCCCATCATTTCAAAAATGTTTAGGGGCCAGCTCACGCCTGTAATCCCAGCACTTTGGGATGCTGAAGCAGGTAGGCAACATGGGAAAACCCCCATCTCTACAAAAAAATATAAAAATTTAGCCAGTGTGGTGGCCCACACCCGTAGTCCCAGCTATGCGGGAGGCTGAAGTGGAAGGATTACTTGAGTCCGGGAGGTAGAGTTTGCAGAGAGCCATGATTGTGTCATTGCACTCCAGCCTGGGCAACAGAGTGACACCCTATCTCTAAAATAAAAATAAGTAAATAAATCAATAAATGTTTAGGAACATACCTCTCAGAGGTAAGGGTGCTTGGAAAAAAAAAAAGCAATAGGCTGGGCATGGTGGTTCATGCCTATAATCCCAGCACTTTGAGAGGCTGACATGGGAGGATCACTTGAAGTCAGGAGTTCAAGACTGCAGTGAACTCTGATTGCACCACTGCACTCCAGCCTGGGCTATGATAGAGTGTAGCATCACTACAATACCATTAGGATACCTAATGAAAGGCCGGGGGCAGTGCTAATGCCTGTAATCCCAGCACTTTGGGAGGCCGAGGTGGGCAGATCACCTGAGGTTGGGAGTTCGAGACCAACCTGACCAGCATAGAGAAACCGGGTCTCTACTAAAAATACAAAATTAAGGCTGGGTGCAGTGGCTAACACCTGTAATCGCAGCACTTTGGGAGGCCAAGGCAGGCAGATCACCTGAGGTCAGGAGTTTAGAGACCAGCCTGGCCAAAATGGTGAAACCCTGTCTCTACTAAAAAAAAAAGTACAAAAATTGGCCTGGTGTGGCATATGCCTGTAATCCCAGCTACTTGGGAGGCTGAGACAGAAGAATTGCTTGAACCTGGGAGATGGAGGTTATAGTGAGCTGAGATTGTGCCCCTGCATTCCAGCCTGAGTAACAGAGCAAGACGCATCAAAGAAAAGAAAGTAAAATAAATAAAAATACAAATACAAAATTAGCCAGGCATGATGTCATGTGCCTGTAATCCCAACTACTGGAGGCAAGAGAATCACTTGAACCTGGGAGCCCGAGGTTACAGTGAATCAAGATCACGCCATTGCACTCCAGCCTGGGCAAAACAAGAGCAAAACTCTATCTCAAAAAAAAAAAAAAAGATATGTAATAAAATTAACAATAATTCCTGAACTTCATCTAACATCTGATGCCTGTTCAAAACTCTCTGATTATCTCCTAAATGTTTTCTTGGCAGTTTGTTTGGATCAGGTCTGAAGGAGATCTGAGTCTTGCAGCTGGTTGCCGTGTCTCTCCTACACTTTTTTTTTTTTTTTTTTTGAGACGGAGTTTCGCTCTTGTTACTCAGGCTGGAGTGCAATGGTGCGATCTCGGCTCACCGCAACCTCCGCCTCCTGGGTTCTGGCAATTCTCCTGCCTCAGCCTCCTGAGTAGCTGGGATTACAGGCACGTCTCCTCCACTTTTAATCGATAGCTCTCTCCATGTCCTGACCTTTTCACCTTGGCATGGCTGCTGTGATGATAAAGGAACCCTTGTCCTGTGGAGGTTCCCATAGCAGCCGTCAATCAGCAAGGCCTAGGACGTCCCCTCCAAAGCATGACTCCCCTCCGTCCCCTCCCCTTACTCTGATGCGTGTCTCCCCTCCGTCCCCTCCCCTCACTCTGATGCATGTCTCCCCCGTCCCTTTTGCTCACTCTGATGCATGTCTCCACACCCCCCCCACCATCCCCTCCCCTCACTCTGATGGATGTCTCCCCTCCGTCTCCTCCCCTCACTCTGATGCATGTCTCCCCTCCGTCCCCTCCCCTCACTCTGATGCATGTCTCCCCTCCGTCCCCTCCCCTCACTCTTATGCATATCTCCCCTCCATCCCCTCCCCTCACTCTGATGGATGTCTCCCCTCCGTCTCCTCCCCTCACTCTGATGCATGTCTCCCCCTGTCCCTTTTCCTCACTCTGATGCATATCTCCACACCCCCCCCACCGTCCCCTTCCCTCACTCTGATGCATGTCTCCCCTCCGTCCCCTCCCCTCACTCTGATGCATGTCTCCCCTCCGTCTCCTCCCCTCACTCTTATGCATGTCTCCCCTCTGTCCCCTCCCCTCACTCTGATGCATGTCTCCCCCTGTCCCTTTTCCTCACTCTGATGCATGTCTCCACACCCCCCCGGCTGTCCCCTTCCCTCACTCTGATGCATGTCTCCCCTCCGTCCCCTTCCCTCTGTTCCCACGGCCTCCACCCTTCCCAGACACCACAACCTTCCCAACAGTTGCTGGCCTCCTTGTTGTCCATTCTGCCCCCTTGGGCTCACCCTCCATCATGCAGCAGAGAGGTGGAGCCTTTCATGCCCTGGCTTACATACTGCCTAATCTTAAGGATTAAGTCTGTAACCTCCCTGCGTCTCCAGGGGCCATCATCTGTGGCCTCCACAGTGTCTCAGTCTCACCACTCCCCAGTCACCCACTCCCTTCTTCCAGCTGCACCCACCTGCTCTCCTTCTTCAAATTCACCTTGCTCCCCTTACCCTGGTATTTCAGCATGTGTTTTTCTTTGCCTACTTTTAGAGACAGAGTCTCCCTCTGTGGTCCAGGCTGGAGTGCAGTGGCACAATCTTGGCTCACTACAACCTCTGCCTCCCATGTACAAATGACTGTCGTGCCTCAGCCTCCCAAGTAGCTGGGACTACAGGTGTGCACCACCACACCTGGCTAATTTTTCTATTCTCATTTTAGTAGAGACAGGGTTTCACCACGTTGGCCAGGCTGGTCTCCAACTCCTGCCCTCGAATGATCCGCCTCCCAAAGTGCTGGGATTACAGGTGTGAGTAAAAATCCGTGACTGGCCTGTTTTTGTTTTTGAAAAAGGATCTGGCTCTTTCACTGAAGCTAGATTGCTGTGGTGCGACCTTGGCTCACTGCAGCCCCAAACTCCTGGGCTCGAGTGATCCTCCCTCAGCATCCTGATTCGGCACGTGCTCTTCCCCTTGCTGGCCTACTCTCCTCTACCACCAGCCCCAACTCCTGCTCACCCTGCAGGTCTTCCTCCCTGCCCTTGCTGACTGTCAGACAGCTCTAGTGAAGATCTTTCCCAGGGCTGTTTGGGCTCCTCATTGCTCTGGAAGCCCAGCACTTGGGGCCAGGTCACACCAAGGTGGTTGGGGTAGAGGCACTCGGAAGGCAAGGTAGTGCCCCTAACTGGCCTCTTCTGCAGCGTGGCCATCCTCTACTACCTGTGTCGCAAGTACAGCACACCGTCACACTGGTACCCGCCAGACCTGCACATACGTGCCCGTGTGGACGAGTTCATGGCTTGGCAACATGTGGCCTTTCAGCTGCCCATGAAAAAGATGGTTTGGCTAAAGGTGAGCAGGGTCACTTGTGGGGCTTGGGGACAAGGGGACAAGGGAGTCAGGAAGGCTGGAGACCACTTATGGCCCTGCTGACTGCCGGTGAAAAGTCTCCCTCCGTCTCTGAGCCTCATTTCCTCAGCTCCTTCTCCTGCCTGCCTAACAGAGTTGTCAGGAGGGTGGACTGAAACAATGGGTATGAAAGAGTCTCACTAGGGCAAAGGGAAGAGCATACAGGAGGTGCTGATGTTAGCCACCCCAGGACAGCATTCCATGCTTTTCATTCTGAACAAGAGAATCTCAGAGTCAAAGGGCCCACAGAAGGCCAGGCGTGGTATCTCACGCCTGTAATCACAGCACTTTGGGAGGCCGAGGCAGGCAGATCATGATGTCAGGAGTTTGAGACCAGCCTGGCCATCATAGTGAAACCCTGTCTCTACTAAAAATACAAAAAATTAGCTGGGTATGGTGGCATGCACCTGTAGTCCCAGCTACTTGAGAGGCTGAGGCAAGAGGATTGCTTGAACCTGGCAAGGCAGAGGTGGCAGTTAGCCGAGATTGTGCCACTGTGCTCCAGCCAGGGCGACATAGCGAGACTCTGTCTCAGAAAATTTGAAGATGACAAATAACCAGTACATGTGTCCCTGCTTCTAAATGTATGCCTGTGACAGGCATCAGTAATCAGTCACAGGATTTATGCCTGATGAGTTATCCAAATCCTTGTGGACACATGAGCCCAGGCAACTTCCACCAATCAGAACTGCTAAAAGAAGTGAAACTACTTTATGTCCTCGGAACTGTCCAATAGCTTTCGAGCAGACAAGAGTACAGAGACCTGGTAGGGCAGGTAGCCCAGGTGTGCAGCCTCCTCTTCCCTCCTCTTCCCAACCCTGGCCAGTTGCTGATCCCAAAGATAACAGGGGAGGAAGTTTCAGCTGAGAAGATGGATCACACAGTGGCGGAGGTGAAGAACAGCCTGAAGCTCTTCGAGGAGTATTTTCTTCAGGACAAGATGTTCATCACTGGGGACCAAATTTCACTGGCTGACTTGGTAGCCGTGGTGGAGATGATGCAGGTGTGGGGAGGGGTGGAGGAGAGTTAGACCTTGGGCAGAGGTGGGACTCCCCTGTGACCAGCGGGGCCATCACTTGAGGATAGGCTGGTGAAGCCGGGAAGGCAGGTGTAGCTGCCATAGGGGCTGTGGGAGCCAGGTCTGGGTGCCCGGACTCAATGTGGGGGCAACAGGAAGCACAGAATGTTATGAAACAGGAGGGATCACAATTCTCCACGCTTGACAAAGATTCTTCAGTGTGGGAGGAGCTGGAGGGTGAGCCTGAGATAGGGAAAAGGGCACTGCATTTCCTGGTCAGTCCACCAGGATCCCAGATGCCTCCTCCTCTTGCTGGACTCCCCAGGAAATGTTCACTGGCTTCCTGGCTGTCCTGGCCCTGCCTGTTTCCCAGAGCTCCAGACAGACAGCTGTGAAGGACAGCTCTCCTGGCTGGGTCTGAGCGGCATCCACTGTGCGTTTGGAGGCACACCTGGGTGTGGGGCATGTATGTGGCCTCTACATTCACGGGAGGGTGACCAGTTCTGCCTCTCCTGACGCTGGCCAGGGTCTACACTGGCCATCCTGCACACCAGCTAGGGCACTGCACACTCACCAAAGAGAGTGGCCAGAGCTATGCCCAGGAGGAGGCATCCGGGATCCTGGTGGATTGACCAGGAAACGCAGTTTTCTTTTCCCTATCCCAGAGATCTCTGACTGATATGCAAATTAGTCTCTTCGATCTGTTTGCAGTGCAGATCAGCATGAGAAAAAGTCATTCTGGCCTCCCCCAAGGGTTCAGTCATAGGCTTCGTCCCACACCCCTTACATTTCACCCACCACCTCACCCCTCTTGGGCTTCCCGAAGATCTTGCGTGCAAGCCAAGTTACAGGGTAGACTGCCTTAGTGAGCCAGCCAAACTGCAGGGCAGACTGCCCGCCAGGTCTCCCATTCTAGCCCCTGTGCTTGATCACAGTGGGAGGTTAAACATGGGGGAAAAAACTGAGTTCTCCCCCTCATCCACATATACACACCTGGGATAAGGGGTTTCCCTGAAAGAAGGCAGGATTCATGGGAGGTCGCGGGCTGGAGAAGTAGAAGCTGCCTGGGTCAGGAGCCCTCTCAGTGTGGTTCAGAATTTGGAGTGAGAAGACCAGTGACCAAGGACCCTGGGGGATTCTGGATCCTCTATCCCCACCTACGTCTATTACATAGTCTGTGATGGCTTGCTCAGGCTTAGGGGACAGCAGCCTAATTCTTTGCAGAGGCTGATGGGGAGAGCCCCTGAGGCTGTGGGCAAGGACCCAGGTGGGGCTGGTCCCCAGGATGACCACCTCTTCCTCTTTGTCTATCTATAGCCCATGGCAGCCAACTATAATGCCTTCCTGAACAGCTCTAAGGTAGCTGAGTGGCGCATGCGGGTGGAGCTGAGTATCGGCTCTGGCCTCTTTAGGGAGGCCCACAATCGACTAATGCAGTTGGCTGACTGGGACTTTTCAACATTGGATCCAGTGGTCAAGGAGAAAATCTGTGAGTTTCGGGAGAAGTACTTGTGATCCTAGGCGCAGTCCGTCCTGCAGGGCTTGGCTGGCTCAGCAATCTGAGCCACGCTCCTTAAAGGAAATGCTAAAAAAAAAAAAAAAAGAACTGTTCTTTGCCTAATAAAGAACTGGAACAACCATCACAGCTGCTGAGCAACAGACAGTTGGTGTATGCGTAGGGTCTGATGTGGGAGTGGGTGGTGGTCACAGATCCTTCCAGTTTCCCAGAAGAATTTTAAGAGTAAAGGGTTAAATATAGTTGCATTGTCAGTAATAATAGTTGGTGACTTCAAAACCCCACTTTCATTAATAGAAAAACTACAGAAGATCATCAAGGAAATAGAGGACTTGAAAAACACTGCAAACCAATTGCCCACAGTAGACACGAACAGAACTTTCCACCGGACAAGAGCAGAACAAGCATTCTTCTAAAGAGCATGTGGAATATTCTCCAGCATAGAGCGTATATTTGGTCATAGGTCTCAAATTTAAGAAGATTGAAGTCATACAAAGTATGTTCTCTGGACACACTGGAATAAAGTTAAAAATCAAGAACAGAAGGAAAACTAGAAAATTCACAAGCATACAGAAATTAAAGAGCCCACTCTTAAACAACAAATGGGTCAAAGAAGAAATCACGAGGGACATTAGAAAGTATCTTAAACAAATAAAAATGAAAACACAACATGCCAAAATTTACAGGATGCAGCAGCAGCAGTGCTGCGAGCAACATTTATATCTGTAAGCATATAAATTAAAAAAGAGCAGCCTCGAATCAATAACCTAACCTTATACCTTAAGGAACTAGAAAAATAAGAGCAAACTAAACCCAACACCAATAGAAGAAAGGAAATAATAAAGATTAGATGGAGATAAATGAAATAGAAAATAGAAAAACAATAGAGAAAATCAATGAAACCAAAAATTGGATTTTTGAAAAGAACAACAAAAATTGGCGAACCTTTAGAATAGCCAAGTGAAAAAATAAGAATAAGAATAGTTAGAATAGCCAAGTGAAAAAATAAGACTCTAATTATTCACCAAGAGAGAAAGTGAAGGCTGAGTGCAATGGTTCACATGTGTAATCCCAGCACTTTGGGAAGCTGAGGCAGGAGGATCACCTGAGGCCAGGAGATTGAGACCAGCCTAGGCTATATAGTGAGACTTGTTTCCAATATATATATATATATATATATATATATATATATATATATACACACACACACACATATTTAAAATTAGTTGGGAGGGCAGATACAGTGGCTCATGCCTGTAATCCCAGCACTTTGGGAGGCTGAGGTGGGCAGAATACCTGAGGTCAGGAATTCAAGACCAGCCTGGCCAACATGGTGAAACCCCATCTCTACTAAAAATAGAAAATAGCCAGGTGTGGTGGCAGGTGTCTGTAATCCCAGCTACTTGGGAGGCTGAGGTAGGAGAATCACTTGAACCCGGCAGGCAGAGGTTGCAGTGAGCTGAGATTGTACCACTGCACTCTAGCTTGAGTGACAAGAGGGAAAGTCCATCTCAGAAAGAAAAAGAAAGAAAGAAAGAAGGAAGGAAGGAAGGAAAGAAAGAAAGAAGGAAAGAGAAAAATTAGCTGAATTAGCTGGGTGTGGTGGTACATGACTGTAGTCCCAGCTACTTGGGTGGCTAAGGTGGGAGGATCACTTGAGCCTTGGAGTTCCAGGTCACACTAAGCTATGATTGCACCACTGTGCTCCAACCTGGGCAACATAAGAAAACCTTATCTCAAAAAACAAAAACACAAAATAGAAACCAGAAAGAAATGAAGTAATCACTCCTGGTCTTAGAGAAGTGCTAAGGTTTATTAAAAAAATAATGAATAATTGTATGTGAACAAATGAGATAACCTTGAAGAAATGGGAAAATTTTAGAAATGCACCATCTACCAAAACTGACTTAAGGAGAAAGATAAAATTTGAATAGACCCGTAACAAGGGAAGAGATCAAAATATTAATTTTTTAAAATATCCTACAAAGAAAAGCCCAGGACCAGATGGCTTCACTAGTAAATTTAACCAAATGCTTGAGGAATTAACACCAAGCCTTCACAAACTCTTCCAAAAAACAGAACAGAAGGAAACATTTTTCAACTCATTCAATGAGGCTAGCATTACCCTGATACCAAAGACAGAAAAAGACATTACAAGAAAATAAAGTTATAAAGCAATATCCTTAAAAATATAGATGTAAAAATCCTCAGCAAAATATTAGCAAATCAAATTCAGCAGCATATTAAAAGGATTATACACCTTGACCAGGTAGGATTTATCCCAGGAATACAAATGTGGTTTAACATACAAAAATCAATCAATGTAGCACACCATATTAACAGAAAGTCACATGATCATCCTAATGCAGAGACGGCATTTGAAAATCTCTAACATCTTTTTATGATAAAATCACTCAACAAATAAAGACTAGGAAGGAATTTCCTCAACCTGAAAAAGAGCATCTATGAAAAAACTATAACTACTCCATACTTAATGGTGAAAAATTGAGTGTTTCCCCACTAAGATCAGGAACAGGACAAGAATGTTCATTCACTTACTTCTACTTATTTATTTATTTTTTTTGAGACGGAGTTCACTCTTGTTACCCTGGCTGGAGTGCAATGGCGTGATCTCGGCTCACCGCAACCTCCGCCTCCTGGGTTCAGGCAATTTTCCTGCCTCAGCCTCCTGAGCAGCTGGGATTATAGGCACACGCCACCATGCCCAGCTAATTTTTTGTATTTTTAGTAGAGACGGGGTTTCACCATGTTGACCAGGATGGTCTCGATCTCTTGACCTTGTGATCCACCCGCCTCGGCATCCCAAAGTGCTGGGATTGCAGGCATGAGCCACCGCGCCCGGCCTACTTCTACTTATTAGGGCAATTAAGCAACAACAACAAAAAAAGGAACTAAGAGCATCCAGATCACAAAGAAAGATGTAAAACTATCTTTAATCATAGATGATGACGTTGTAGGAACTCCCAAGGAACTCACTTAAAAAGCATTAGAGCTAATAAGTAAGTTCAGCAACGTTGCAGGATACAAGATTAATACACAAAATTCAATAGTATACATTTGCAATAAAGGATCAAAAACAAAATTAAAACAATGCTTCCATTTATAATAGCATCAAAAAGGATAAAATACTTAGAATAAATTTAACCAAAAGAAAAGCAACACTTGGACACAGAAAACTACAATGTACTGTTAAAGGAATCCAAAGAAGCACCACCAAGCAATCTGACCTGAGAAAGCCTGCAGATTCAACAGAATGAGTCCTGCTCTTCAGCAAGCGTGAGTCCACCCATGTTCCTTGTCAATGACGATAACTTTAAATGTCAAGAATGTCAGAGAGGCCAGGCACAGTGGATCACACCTATAATCCCAGCACTTTGGGAGGCCAAGGTGGGAGGATCACTTGAGCTAAGGAATTCAAGACTACCCTGGGAAACAAAGTGCAACCCCGTCTCTACAAAGTCCAAAAATTAGCCGAGCATGGAGGCATGCGCCTGTGGTCTGAGCTACACAGGAGGCTGAGGCAGAAGGATTGTGTAAGCCCAGGAAGTCGAGGCTGCAGTGAGCTGAGTTTGCACCACTCCAGCCTGGGTGACAGCATGACCCTGTCTCAAAAAACAAAAAATGTGAGATACCATGGGGAAGGTGTGGCCCTGGGGTAGGGGCTGGGAGACTGGAAAGCAGCTGTTAGCGGTCCCATTGCTGCCCAGAGCAGACAGTGCCCTGTCCACCCTCATGAGCTCCTTGGACTCCTTGGACAGGACTGACTACACATGAGAATGTGGGGACCCTTATTTTGAAATTGTTAAGAATCTCAAGATGGCAACACCAAAGCTTTAAACCAAGTGCACGGCCCTTCCGAGTTGTAGACCCACGAGGCCGACAGACTGCCATTCACATCCTGGTATAGCCACTCCTCTTGAGTGTGGCTGGGGCCTGTGCTCTATTGCTTGGAAGCAAGGCTTATCCCGAAGCCTTATTTTCAGGGAGGTGGATTTGAGAGCTATTATCCCACCTCCTTGCTTGGTGCCCTGCGAATAAATCTTTTCTCTTTTGCAAAACTCGGGTCACGGTGATTAACTTACTGTGCATGGGCAGGACGGACCTCGTCCTGGCCAGTAACACCCGCAAGGCATTCTGGGAGTCTGCGCTGCCAAGACAGCACTGAGCAATGGTTGGGAGTGGTCTGCCTAAATGACTTTTCACTTTTTTCTAGGCTGGGCACAGTTTCTCATGCCTGTAATCCCAACACTATGAGAGGCTGAGGTGGGCAGATCATTTGAAGCCAAGAGTTTAAGACTAGCCTGGCCAACATGATGAAAACCCATCTCTACTAAAAATACAAAAATTAGCTGAGCATGCCTGAAATCCCAGCTACCCGGGTGACTGAGGGTTCAAGCACTAGAATTGCTTGAACTTGGGAGGCAGAAGTTGCAGTGAGCCGAGATTGTGCCACTGCACTCCAGCCTGGGTGACAGAGAGAAACTCAGTCTCAAAAAATATATGTATATTTTTTTCTATAAATTAATAAAAGGAATACAGCCTCTTGTGAGCTGGTTTATGTGAGTTTGATTCAAAGAAAATGATCAATCCTTAAATATAGACCAAATGAGGTTTTTTGTTTTTTTTTTTTTTTTATATGGAATTTCCCTCTTGCCACCCAGGAGGGTGTGCAAAGGCGCAATCTGGGCTCACTGCCACCTCTGCCCACCATGTTCAAGTGATTCTCCTGCCTAAACCTCCTGCATAGCTGGGATTGCAGGTGCGGGCCACCACATCCAGCTAATTTTTGTATTGTTAGTAGAGACGGGTTTTCACCATGTTGGCCAGGGTGGTCTCGAACTCCTGACCTCAGGAGATCCACCCACCTTGGCCTCCCAAAGTGCTGTGATTACAGGCATGAGCCACCACTCCTGGCCCCAAATTAGGTTTTGAACTTGCAAGACAGGCTGAGGCCTGCCCCAGAATCCTGACAGCTCCTCCTTGGGTCTCTGATGTGAGTTATCCACAGGTGAGGAAAAGGCAGCCATTGGCTTCTCTGAGTGTTTAACTCCTTTAAAAACTTTAACACGGAAATCTGAATTTCTTATCTTTCCTTAATTCTTTTTTCCAGGTAAAAATCATTATTACCAGCAAGCTGTCATGGCTCCCATCTGTAATCCCAGCACTTCGAGAGGTGGTGATGGGAGGATCACTTGAAGCCAAGAGTTTGAGACCAGCCTAGGCAACATAGTGACACCCTGTCTCTACAGGGAAAAAAAAAAAAAAAAAGTTAAACTAGCTGGGCATGGTGGTGTGCATCTGTAGTCCCAGCTACTCAGGGAGGCTGAAGTGAGAGGATGGGTTGAGCACAGGAGTTGGAGGCTGTAGTCAGCTATGATGATAGCTGCATTCGACCCTGGGTGAGAGAGTGAGACTCCATCCAAATAAAATAAAATAATTATTACTTTCACTTTGCAGAAATGTTCCTTACTCTGTAGAAAACATTATGCTTTGGCTGACACACTTTCAGTGCGATTTGTTTTAGGAAATGACACGGGACCCTGACACTGTTTGACAGGCTCCATGGCAGGCCTTGGGGAGCTCCCTGGCAGCAAGAGGCCGGCCTGGGCTTATGGCTCAGCAGATGAATCCAGGCTGTGGACTTGCAAGGACTCTGGAGGGCGCTAGCTTCCTTACCATTTTAAAGATGATGGAGAACGCAGGCCTGGAGAAGGGAAGAAATGAACCCAGGGAACGCGATGGATGGCACTGCGCTGGCAGGAGTAGCAAGACCAAGGCTGTCACATTCCAGAGAGTGCAATTGGAGTGAAGCGAGTGGCCACAAAACACTGAACGTAAGCCCTGAGGTCTCTGCAGTGTTGAGCCAAGAGTATGGACTTTGGAGCCAGACTTTCTGAGCCTATAATCATTCAGAGTCTGTCTCCTTCTCTGTAAAATGGGGACGGTGGGAAATTCTGACACACAGATGCACCTTGAAGACATACTGCTAAGTAAAATAAACCAGCCAGGCACCAAAGGGCTGGGACTGGGGCCTCTCTGTGCGTCCCCCTGAGGGGACCCACCCTGATCCGGCAGAAGCCAGGCGGGCCCAGCCCTCGGACACGCCGCCCGCCTTCAATTGGACTAAAGTGTCCCAGGCGTCCGAGCTGCCCAATGGGTTTCCGCGGTCGGGGGGCGTGACAGCAGGGGCGTGGTCCAAGGTCGGAGACCTAAGTCTTGGCACCGGAGTTTGCAGATTTCCCCAACAAGTTTCCAGTCTGGTCTGTCGGTTTCTGCTATGGGCCTGGAACTGTACCTGGATCTGCTGTCCCAGCCCTGCCGCGCCATTTACATCTTCGCCAAGAAGAACGGCATCCCCTTCGAGCTGCGCACCGTGGATCTGATCAAAGGTAGGCCCGGCCTCGGGTTTGGGGAACTGAAAAGTCAGGAAGGGACAGGTAGGCATACAGTGGCTTAGGGAACTTCTCCTGGCGCCACCGTCTTCCTGGAGCCATTGCTGGTCTGGTTTGGAGACCGAACGGAGAAAGATGAGCCACCAGGGAGATCCAAGAGTCAGGAATCCCCCAAGCTCTGCCTGCTCTCACGGAATGGACCACGGGGTTCCCTTGAGGCCGAATGAAGTGGTAGGGACCATAAAAAGAAGCGAGACCAGAGGACAGAAACGGGCGCGGCTGGGTACAGGACATGCGCCTGTCGTCCCTGCTACTTGGGAGGCTGGGTGGGAGGATCATTTGAGCCCAGGAGTTCCAGGCTGCAGTGCGCTATGATGGTGCCCTTCAATAGCCACTGCACTCCAGTCAGGGCAATGTAGCAAGACCCCGTCTTAAAAATTTTTTTTTAACAAAATAAAAACGGATGTGACCTGGGCCTAGGGAAAGGAGGGAGGAGAGAGGTTAAGGGTGCCAAGTGTAGAGACTGGGACAGAGTCGAGTGCCTTCTTTGTGGCCCAGCTGCTGAGATTCTGCAACAGCAAACCAATGAGGCATTGCCCCAGGACCTGACTTTCCAGCCCTGCCCTCTGCACTCATCCAGGCTGTACTGGGGTCCCTCTTTGTCCCTTCCCTTCCTCTGCTTCTCCTGTTTTGCCTCTAATCTTGTCCTCTGCTTTTTTTTTTTTTTTTTTTTTTTTTTTTTTGAGACGGAGTCTCGCTCTTGTTCTGTCGCAGTGCAGTGGTGTGGATCTCGGCTCACTGCAACCTCCGCCTCCCGAATTCAAGTGATTCTCCTGCCTCAGTCTCCTGAGTAGCTGAGATTACAGGTGCGCACCACCATGTCTGGTTAATTTTTTTGTATTTTTAATAGAGATGGGGTTTCATCATGTCGGTCAGGCTGGTCTCAAACTCCTGACCTCAAATGATCTGCCCACCTCAGCCTCACAAAGTGCTGAGATTATAGGCATGAGCCACTACGCTCAGCCCAAGGAGTTTTGTTTTTCTGCTTGTTTGTTGTGTTTGAGATGGAGTCTCGCTCTGTCACCCACACTGGAGTGCAGTGGTAGAATCACGGCTCACAGCATCCTCTGCCTCCCGAAACTTTGTCCTCTGCCTCTTGTTCCTGCTGGGGAGGGAGGTTGCCCCAGGGGATAGGCTGGGGGCAGAAGGGGGACCCTGGGGCTTGGTGAGCCCTATATCCTCTTTTGTTTCTCTGGCAGGCCTCCAAGGCCCTTGAGGGCTCAGCTGGCAGGCCCAGGCCTAGTGTGGGGTAGGGTAGTAGGAGGGGTTGGAAGCAGAACCCAGGTATGGCTGGGTGGGCAAGTAGGGCAATTCTATTTGGCTAACCCTTCTGCCCAGGGTTCCCACTCCATGGCTGGCCCTCCGCCTGAAACTTCGTCACTTAGCCGCTTCTGGAAACTGCCCACCTGTCCTGCACAAGGACTTCCTCTGCAGAGTGTGGGGCAGCAGAAAGGGAATGTGGGATAAGAGGGTGTTCAAGCTGGTTGTCAAATGCACTGGTGCAGAGGGAGGCATGTTTTACCAAGAGAGAGGGGAGGGTGTTCCTGGTGAAGAAACAGTCTGAAGGGAGAGCAAAGAGAGGGTAGCAGGCCTGGCGTGGTGGCTCATACCTGTAATCCCAGCACTTTGGGAGGCCGAGGTAGGAGGATCACTTGAGGCCAGTAGTTCCAGACCAGCCTGGGTGACATAGTGAGAGCCCATCCGTAAGGGAAAAAAAAGGTTGGGGCAGGGGGAGGGGTGGTAGCAGGTGTGGTTAAAAAGCTGAAGAGTTAAGGTGATTGTGTATAATTTTGAGGAGCTTCTATCTGATCGTTGGCAATGGGGAGCCACTGAAGACTATGGAGCAGGGCAGTGATGAGACTTAATGCTCTTTGAAGCTTCTCTCGGGCCAGGCACGGTGACTTACGCCTATAATCCCAGCGCTTTGGGAGGCTGAGGCGGGTGGATCACTTGAGGTTAGGAGTTTGAGACCAGCCTGGCCAACATGGCGAGACCCCATCTCTAGTAAAAATACAAAAAATTGGCAGGGTGTGGTGGCGCATGCCTCTAATCCCAGGTACTAGGGAGGCCGAGGTGGGAGAATCACTTGAACCCTGGAGGTGGAGGTTGCAGTGAGCCGAGATTGCTCCACTGCACTCTAGCCTGAGCAACAGATTGAGACTCTGTCTTAAAAAAAAAAAAAAAAAAAAAAAAAAAAGCTTCTCTGGCAGCATGTGCAGCAGACAACCACTCAGACAAGCTCAGGCAGAGAGCATCCAGACAAGCGCAAGCAGGGGCCAGGTGCCCAGGGGGACACTGGCCTGTACTTTTCAGGGGCTGCGGATGGGGTGAAAAATCTGTCCCAGCTTTGGCAGAGCTTAAAGTCACAGCTCCACAGTGCCCAGGGCAGGGCGAAGCAAGGGACACAGCAGGGCCAGTAGAAGTTGTTTCTAAGTAAGTAGATGCCAGAAAAAGGCCACTTCTCTGGGTGGAAGGGACATGACAGTAAGTCAGAGTCCCCTCCGGTGGCCTACCCTGCAGCTTGGGGCACTCTGAATGTGAGTTCATGAAGCTGGCAGTAGTGGAAAGGGGAGGTGGGCAGGGTGCGTGCAAAGGTCCAGGCACCACATCCTGCATGGTGAGCTCTGTTGCAGAGGGGCAGGCTGTGGGAGGAGGCTGTGCCTGCAGGACTTGGCAAGGAGTGTTGTCTATTTTGTACCAGCTGGTGGAGTGGCCTCTTCCTCCCACAGGGGCCCTTCCAATCTGCCATCCAAGAGTGCAGACTGATGGGAAGAAGAACTGTGAAACTGGGTTCTCAGCATTGCAGGGAGGGGCACAGGGCTCAGCATTCTCCTCCCACTACCTACCATGCTGGACTCTTCCAGGTCAGCACCTCAGCGATGCCTTTTCCCAGGTGAACCCCTTGAAGAAGGTGCCAGCCTTGAAGGACGGGGACTTCACCTTGAGTGAGAGGTAACTGGGAACCTAGGGCTGCTGCCAGGCCTGCTGGAACCATCCTGTTCTAACCCTCTATTTCATAGAAAAGGAAACTACAGTCTTCAGAGGCAGAGTCTCTTTGCCTCATATTGTGCAGAGAGTTGGGATGGACCTCAGGCCCCTGCCTGCCTGCTATTCCAGTTCACCCTGGTGTTTGGAAAAGCAAACATCTATTTTACTTCCACACCAGTCCTCTGATTGCTGGTGAGTGTATCCCTAAGGCAGGGCAGGGCAGGGGAGGATGGCAGCTTTACCCACCACAGGGGCAGGCCTCTGGCTAAGCTTGTGTGGAGATGGCTCAGTGGCATCTGGGCTGCCCAGTGGCTCTGTCTCTGGGTTACAGCTTCCCGGGATGGGTCTCCCCGATGGGAGAGGCACCAGATATGGATGACTTACATCATACCAGGTCCCAAGAAGTTGACTCCTCTTCAGAAATCTCAACCTTTCTCTGGTTCTGCCACTTTTGTCACCAGAGTCACTCATCCCATAACAAGGAGAACCTGGAGTTTGTGCTTTAGAGCTCATCTCTGAAATCTCAGGATGGACGCACCTCGGATGAATTCCTCTGACGTTCTGCCAGAGCCATTCTTCCTTTCTGGTACCCCAGGTGTCCTGAGTCCTTGTGTCACTCAGTGTTGTGCCCCCCGGGTACTAGTCAGTGGCAATGTGCAATCTCTGCATGTCCCTGTCACTCCTCTCACCTTTAGGAGGTCTGTGGCTCACAGGGACCTGCAGCCCTCCTCAGAGGTGGCTTCAACAATTGGCTCAGAGCAAAAGGCCAAGGCCAGAGGATTGCTTGAGCCTTGAGGCCAGGAGTTTCAGACCAGTCTGTGCAACACAGTGAGATCCCATCTCTACAAAAAGAAAAAAAAAACAGCCAGGCGTGGTGGTGCACTCCTATAGAAACAGAAGCTGCAGACAATGGAGTTGTTAAGCTGGGACATGGGTATGGCCCAGCTTAATAGAGAACATGAACCAGTGGCAGATACAGAGGTTTTCTGCCCTTTTGGCTGGCGTGCCCAATCCTGGGGAAACCCCAAGTTCCTGAAGGCTTTCCCGTGTCTCCAAATGGACACATCCTCAGTGTTCTTCCAGCTCCATGCTCATCTCATCACCATGGCGGCACTCAAAACCCAGGGAAGGAGGACAGTGCCGGGGGCCTCGTCTGCTCTGCTCTTAGAGGATCCTGCAGATGCAGGAGGGTTTCCTGGTTGGTACTTTAGGGAGCCACACTACCTCAGTCGGCTTAGGTAGGAGCCGATTCTTGGCAGACAGAATGACAGAAAGAACAAAGGGACAGGGAAGCCTTTTTGAACAGCCAGGCCATCAGAGACTGGACGGAATGCCAGAGGATGAAGCAGATGCAGAATGGAAAGAACTGGGCTTCTTCAAAGCTCAACTTTGATGCCACCTCCTCCAGGAAGCTTTCTCTGGTCCTCTGATCAGAAACTGTCCTAAACATTTGGCGGGACACTGTTGTAGGATTTTGCCTGGTGGTAGGAAAAGCTTGGGTGTTAGCCTCAGAAAGATTCTCAGCTCTGCCATTAAAGGCTGTGTGCCCTAGGGTATGTCTTTGCCTTTCTAAGCCTGGTTTCTTCTCTGGAAAATGAGGCTAACACTTTGGCAAATTGTCAGAAAGTTTAAAGAAGTGGGCTGGGCACAGTAGTTCAAGCCTGTAATTCCAGCACTTTGGGAGGCCAAGGCTGGAGGATTGCTTGAAGCTTGAGGCCAGGAGGAGTTTAAGACCAGCCTGGGCAACACAGTGAGATTCCATCTCTACAAAAAGAAAAAGAACAGCCAGGTGTGATGGTGCACTCCTACAGAAACCGAAGCTGCAGTGAGCTGAGACTGTACCACTGCACTCCAGCCTGGGTGACAGGGGAAGACTGTCTAAAAAAAAAAATGACTATGTATAAAATACCTGACACAGTGCCCTTCCTTACCCATGTCTCCCCTCACCCACAGTGTGGCCATCCTGCTCTACCTGACACACAAATATAAGGTCCCTGACCACTGGTACCCTCAGGACCTGCAGGCCCGAGCGCGTGTGGATGAGTACCTGGCATGGCAGCACACGACTCTGCGGAGAAGCTGCCTCCGGGCTTTGTGGCATAAGGTGAGGCTGGGAGTGTGGGGGCGGCAGTCAGGGCATTCCCCACAAGTGCTCAGGCACCATTTTCTCCTTTTCAGTTCTGAATTATTCTCCTACCAACCTGTCTTTGCCTTCACAGATTCTTTCCTCTGTTGTGCCAGATTGCTGTCAAGCTCATACCATACATTCTTTGAGGATGTATTTTCCACCTCTAGAAATTCCATTTGTTTTTTTTGTTTGTTTGTTTTTGAGACAAAGTCTTGCTCTGTCGCCAGGCTGGAGTGCAGCGGTGTGATCTCGGCTCACCGCAACCTCCACCTCCCAGGTTCAAGTGATTCTCCTGCCTCAGCCTCTGGAGTAGCTGGGACTACAGGCATGCGCTACCACGCCCTGCTAATTTTTGTATTTTCAGTAGAGACGGAGTTTCACCATGTTGGGCCAGGATGGTCTCCATCTCTTAACCTCGTGCTGCCCACCTCAGCCATCCAAAGTGCTGGGATTACAGGCGTGAGCCACCAAGCCCAGCCCCATTTGGTTGTTTCTTAGAATTTCTACTTCTCTGCTGAAATTCACCATCTGTTCATCCATTTTATCTTTTTTTCTAAATTCTTTAATATATTTATCACGGTTAACTAAAAATCTTTGTCAACTAATTTCAGCACCTAAATGTTCTAAATGTGGGTCTGGCGGGTCTCACTCTGTCACCCAGGCTGAGTGCAATGGTGCGATCTAGCTCACTTCAATCTCCACCTATTGGGTGGAGCTCACTTCAACCTCTTCCATCCCCATTCTGAAGTGATTCTCCTGCTTCAGTCTCCCAAGTAGCTGGTATTACAGGCACCCACCAGCACACCTAGCTACTCTTTGTATTTGTAATAGAGACCAGATTTCACCACGCTGGTTTCAAACCCCTGACCTCAAGTGATTCGTCCTCCCAAAGTGTTGAGATTACCAGCATGAGCCACTGTGCCCAGCCTATGGGTCTATTTCTATTGTTTTTTTCCTCCTCTTGATAATGGGTCACATTTGCCTGCTTCTTTGCATATTTCATGATGTATTACTATTTTTTAATTTTTTGAGATGGACTCTCTGTTGCCCAGGCTGGAGTACAATGGCTCGAGCTTGGCTCACTGCAACCTCCACCTCCTGGGGTCAAGAGATTCTCCCACCTCAGCCTCCCAAGTAGCTAGAATTACAGGCCTCCACCATCATGTCTGGATTATTTTTGTATTTTTTGTAGAGTTGGGGTTGCACCATGTTGGCCAGGCTGGTCTTGAACTCCTGACCTCAGGTGATCTGCCAGCCTCGACCTCCCAAAGTGTTGGCATTACAGGCATGAGCCACTGTGCCGCCCTCATGACTTATTCTTGTCTGCCAGACGTTATGATAAAAGAAAAGCAGAGATTAAATTGCATAATAAATATCCGCAAAAAAGGGCTCGCACTTCCCTTTGTCAGGCAGCCAGGATGTGAGGCTGTTCTCTTCCAGCTAATCAAGAGGTGGGCTGGGTTGCAGGTTTCGTTGGTTTCAGTTTATCTTTGGTTTCAAATATCTTGAATGTGAGATCAGGTCACTAGCCTCACTCCAGCAGGGCTTTGAAATCTAATCACCGACTACTACAGTGCCTATAAGATCTCTCTGCTGTTCAGCCCTGCCCCCAGTTCCCAAACTGCTGCTCAGTAGGAAAAGCCTGTGCCTGTGGCAGTCTTTCTCACTGCCTGCTTGGGCCCCAGGAAATGAAATTGGAATGAAAGTAGCTTATCTAGGAAGGGTTTGTGCCTCTCTGGAATTTAGTTCATTTAGTCAAGTGCTGTCCAATAGAAGTATAAAGTGAGCCACATACATAATTTTAAATTTTCTAGTAAGCACATTTAAAAAGTAGAAGGAGGGCCGGGCATGGTGACTCACACCTGTAATCCCAACACATAGGGAGGCCTAGGCGGGCAGATCACGAGGTCAGGAGTTTGAGACCAGGCTGGCCAACATGGTGAAACCCCATCTCTAATAAAAACACAAAAATCTGCCAGGTGTGATGGCGTGGGCCTGTAACCCGAGCTACTGGGAGGCTAAGGCAGGAGAATCTCTTGACCCCAGGGGGGCAGAGGTTGCAGTGGGCTGCAGCAGTGCCACTTAACTCCAGCCTGGGTGACAGAGTGAAACACTGTCTCAAAAACAAAACAAAACAAAACAAAAAAAGTAAAAAGAAGTCGATATATTTTACTTAACACAATATATTCAGAATATTATCATTTTGGGCCACAAGTACAAGAAAAGATGCTCAGCATCACTAATCCTTAGGGAAATGCAAACCAAAACTACCTCTCTACTCCACTAACGCCCCACTTCGTCTGCCCAATCCCCAGGTGATGTTCCCTGTTTTCCTGGGTGAGCCGGTATCTCCCCAGACACTGGCAGCCACCCTGGCAGAGCTGGATGTGAACGTGCAGTTGCTCGAGGACAAGTTCCTCCAGAACAAGGCCTTCCTCGCCGGGCCTCACATCTCCTTAGCTGACCTGGTGGCCATCACGGAGCTGATGCATGTGAGTGCTGGGGGCAGGTGGGCCCACTAGGCAGGGGGTCCTGGCTAGCTGCTGAAGTCCTGCTTATGCCTGCCCCTGCTGGCTACAGGACTGTGCTTATGTGTGTGTGCAAACTCCTTTTGGAGCTTCTGTGGTCCCCAAATCAGATGCTGCCCATCTTTGCCCTTATAACCGTCCATCCCCATTCTGTCCCCTTTTCCCCACAGCCTGTGGGTGCTGGCTGCCAAGTCTTCGAAGGCCGACTCAAGCTGGCCGCATGGCGGAATCACGTGGAGGCAGCAGTGGGGGAAGACCTCTTCCAGGAGGCCCATGAGATCATTCTGAAGGCCAAGGACTTTCCACCTGCAGACCCCACCACAAAGCAGAAGTTGATGCCCAGGGTACTGGCCATGATCCAGTGAGCTGGGAAACCTCACCCCTGCACTGCCCTCAGCAGTTCACAAAGTACTTTCATTTTCTTTCTTTCTTTCTTTTTTTTTTTTTGAGACAGAGTCTTGCTCTGTTGCCTATGTTGGAGTGCAATGGTGCCATCTCGGCTCACTGCAGCCTCCACCTCTCGGGTTCAAGTGATTCTCCTGCTTCAGCATCCCCAGCAGCTGGGATTACAGCTGCCCACCACTGTGTCCAGCCAATTGTTGTAGTTTTAGTAGAGACAGGGTTTTACCATGTTGGTCAGGCTAGTCTCGAACTCCTGATCTCGTGATTCATCCGCCTCGGCCTCCAAAAGTGGTGAGATTACAGGCATGGGCCACCACACCCGGCCATCACTTTCATTTCTAATGGCCCATGGGACCGAGGCCCAGAGAGCAGGAATGGCTTGCTTAAGACTTGCCCAAGTCCCAGAGCGCCTCAGCTCCCCAGGCCACCGTCCCTACCCTGTCTTCCACAGCTGCCTGAAAGCCACCATGAGAATGATGCACACTGAGACCTTGTGTCCTTCAATCACTGCATTTCAAGTTTGGATAATAAACCTGAGCTCAGCCTGAGCCTCTGCTTCTAACTCAAATGTGTGATTTATTTGACTTTCCTCTGTCCCAACCCTGGTCTTGATCTCTATCCAAAAGACAATCCCCCTTCCCAGGCCCTGTGGGTCAGCTTCTCCCTGATGTTTGCCAGTAGAGAAATTGACAAACGTGGCTAAGTGCGGTGGCACGTGCTTATTATCCCAGTACTTCGGGAGGTCCAGGTGGTGGGATTGCTTGAGTCCAGGAGTTCAAAAAAAAAATTTTTTTTTGAGACAGTCTTGCTCTGTTGCCCAGGCTGGAGTGCAGTGGCATGACCATGGCTTACTGCAACCTCTGTCTCCCAGGTTCAAGTGATTCTCCTGCCTCAGCCTCCCAAGCAGCTGGGATTGCAAGCATGTGCCATCACATCTGGCTGATTTTTGTATTTTTAGTAGAGACGGGGTTTCACCATGTTGGCCAGGCTGGTTTCAAACTCGACCTCAAGTGATCTGCCTGCCTTCACCTCCAAAAGTGCTGCAAGCCACTGCCTGGATCCCCCAAATTTTTTTTTCCAGAGACAGGGTCTCACTCTGTTGCCCAGGCTGCAGTGCAGTGGCACAACCGTGGCTCACTGCATCCTTGACATCCCAGGCTCAAGCGATATTCCCACCTCAGCCTCCTAAGAAGCTGGGATAACATATGCACCACAGCATGCCCAGTTAATTTTTTTGTACAGACGGGTCTTGTCATGTTGCCCAGGCTAGTCCTGCACTCCTGTGCTCAATGGATGCTCCTACCTCTATCTCCCAAAGTGCTAGGATTACAGTGGCAAGCCACTGCACACAGCCCAAAAGAATTCTTTTTTTTTAATTAGCCGGGTGTGGTGGTGCATGACTGCAGTTCTAACTACTTGGGAGGCTCAGGTGGGAGGATTGCTTGAGCCCAGAGTTCAAGGCTGCAGTGAGCTCTCATTGACCCACAGCACTCCAGCTGCAGCAACAGAACAAGACTCTGTCTCTAAAAACACACAAAGAAACCCAAAACAAAACAAAACATGTCTGTAGCCTTCTAATTCCCAGAGAAAGTAAGTATCTGATAGCACGAGGCCCAGCAGCATCCCACATTTGGTGGCTGTAGGCATGGCGACCCAGCAGTTGGCTGCACTGGCCTCCCAGGGCATGACCCTTACTGTCAGTCAGGAGTCTTGTGTTGCTCCTGAGGAACTGGTCGGGAGGAGAAAATCTAGACAGCAGCTCTCCTGGTCAAAACCCAGTCATTCAGGAGCCTAAATGCCATGCCCGGGTGCCTGGCTGTAAACTGTTAGCAGGAATGGAGTGCTCTGATGGTGTTTTCGAATAACATTCTGGCTGCTGCTGCGGCTTGGACTGGAAGGCAGCCAGGGAGGACGCAGGGAGATTTGATATTGCAGTAATCCCGGCCAAAGGTGACTTGTGAAAAGGGGTAGGCAACTGAAGGGGTAGGAGAATGTGGCCCCTCTCAGTCTGGAAAGAGCTGCTGCACTAGGCCAGGAAGACACTCTTCTGCGGGGGAATAGGTCTTCCTTCAGTGGGCACCATGGGGTTGGGTGTGGTGGCTCATGCCTGTAATCTCAAAACTTTAGGAGTCTGAGGCAGGAAGATCACTTGAGCCCAGGAGTTGGAGACCAGCCTGGGAAACATAGCGACACCCTGTCTCTACAATGAAAAAAAATTAAAAATTAAAATTAAAATTAACCAGATGTGATGCCTGTGGTCCTGGCTACTTGGGAGGCTGAGGTGGGAGGATCATTTGATCACTTGAGCCCTGGAGGTCGAGGCTGCAATGAGCTATGACCATGTCACCGACTCCAGCCTGAGCAACAGAGTGAGACTCTATCTCAACAAAGGGGGCACATGGGAACCATGGGGGACCAGAGCAGGAAGGCTATTGCCAAGTTTCCAGTAACCATCCTCTTGCCAACGTTCTTTCTCTCTATCTTGGATTTAGGGATAGGGTTTTCCTACCTTGGGAGGCTCCCTTGGGAAATGGGAGTGTCATAGCCACAGGCCTCAGAAGCTCTAGAGTTGCCATTGAATAGCAGATAGGAAGTTCTGTGCAATGTCAGGCACTGTTAGTAAACCTCTGGATAGGCCTCAGCCATCTGGGGGAAGGATTAGCTGGAGTGTAATAAATATGACTCCAGTGGCTGGGGAGGGACAGCTCATTCCTCCATGAGGTGTGGGGCTGGCAGCCTCAAGGGCAGCCAGTCACCCTTCCTCTCTGGCCTCCATCCTGGGCACTGGGCACTGGCAGTGGGCAAGGAGGCTGCTGCACCTCCTTTTTTCTCTTCTCTTTTAATGGGATACCTGCAGCCTAGATTCCCAGGAAGGGGAGGTGAGAGCGGACGTGCCACTGATTGGCCCAAAGTTCTCCTGAGCCAACTCCTGAGCGAGGAGGGCGTGGCCGGGCTCAGGCTCCTGGTGCCCAGCGGCTCTGCAGGCTCAGTGACCCAGCAGTTCCTGCCCAACCCTCCCCTACCTGCTGTCCCAGACCTGCTGTGCAGTCTCCATCTTTGCCAAAAAGAACAGCATCCCCTTCGAGCTTTGCACCCTGGAGCTGATCACAGGTTGGCAGGGCAGGCGGCCCAGGGGATATTGACACCGATCTCTGCCTGTCCCCGCTGCTTTGAAGTCAGTCAGATCAGGAATGCAGACCAACAGGAAGAATCAGACTCTCCAGTGTGGTATCTATTTTACTTTATTATTTTTCCCTTTTGGAGACAGGATCTAACTCTGTCATTCAGGCCAGAGTGCAGTGGAACAATCATGGCTCACTGCAGCCTCAAACTTCCAGGCTCAAGTGATCCTCCCGCCTCAGCTTCTCAAGTAGCTGGGACTACAGGTGCCCACCGACATGCCTGGCCAATTTATTATTATTATTCTTGAGAGGAGGTCTTGCTATGTTGCCAAGGTTGGTCTCGAACTCCTGGGCTCAAATCTTCTTGCCTTGGCCTCCCAAAGTGTTGGGATTACAGGCATGAGCCACCATGCCCCTCTGGTTGTCTATTTTAATAGAGGCATGATCTTTGTGTAGTGAATGCAAAACATTCTTCAAAATACAGGTTAAGAGGGGACAGAGAGGTGCAGAGGAGAGTAGGGAAATGGAGTGGCGCCAGAATAACTGTACCCTATGTGCTTGGAAAAAGCAATGAAACTGCCTCGTTTCCTGAATAGTCCCTGTCTACCCCTGCCTGGTTTCTTCCACTTTTTTTTTTCACAGGGTCTCACTGTGTAGCCCAAGCTAGAGGGCAGTGGCATGATCCTGGCTCAATCTCTCAGGCTTAAGCAATCCTCCTACTCCCTCCTCCCATGTAGAGTAGTTGGGACTCTACCAGGCACGCCCCATGCCCGGCTACTTTTTTTTTTTTTTTTGATATGTGCAGAAACAGGATTTCACCAAGTTGACCAGGCTGGACTTGAACTCCTGAGCTTAAGTGATCCGTATGCCTCAGCCTTCTAAAGTGCTGGGATTACAGACATGCATCACCATGCCAGGCCCAGGGTCTCTGCCACTTTTGTGTATTTCTTGCCATTCTTTTTTTTCCCCTGTATCTGACTTGCTCTATCCCATGGGGGTTCTCACCCAGCTGAAGGGGCTACTCCTAGAGGCTGGAGGGCCCTGTGGCAGGGCAGTGGGGGAGGCCAGCACCCCCACCCGGAGCTGCAGTGTTTGCTGGTCTGGCTGGCCTAGAGAGATGCAGCTGGAGCCGAATTCAGTGGAGAAGCCAGGGCTATAACTGAGCAGTAGGGCAGAGAGCAGAGCCAGAGCCCCCTGGGCAGGCCAGAAGGAGGCCCCTGCTCAGCTGAACCTTCCCAACTGCTGCCCTTGGTACAACAAGCTGGAGCCACCTGCTGCAAAACAGGGGCTGGATACAGAGGCAGTTTGTGGAGGGAGAATGGGCAGGGTGTGCATGTCCATTCCGTAGAAGGGCAAAGAGGCCCATGGGTAGGCCTGTGATCAGACTGCAGTCTGGCTCGACTGAGGCCCTCTGATCCAAACACACTAACCAGGCACCTAATGCAGCCTCCAGCACAGAACTGGGGTGCGGGAAGTGTCAGGCCTGGGAACCCCTGGTGGGGAGGGAGCCCTGAGAGTCTGGCATAGGAAAGGAAGAGGAGCTGAGCCACTGGAGGCTGCGTGGCTGAACGGGGCAGGGATTCCCAGCGAGAATGAGGTTGGGCTGAGGGCTGGGACATGTTTAGCTGGGATTCTGGGGCGTCGACAGGTCACCCAGCTTGGTCAGCAGGGCCTAAGTGCCCAGCTGGGATAGGAAGCTCAGTAAGACAGGCCAGCCTAGAGCCCAGGAGGAGGTTGGAGGGGTCTGACCTATGGATGGGACTGGCTGGGGGTGGAGGGTGAATTGTAGCTCCAGGGAATTGTCCTTGACCCTTGCTTCAAGGAGCTGGACACAGGAAAGATGGACCTGTGATGAGTCAGGTCTGTGATCCAGTGACTAGCAGAGAGGCCTCCTCTTCCTTGATGCCTCCCAGATACCAGCCTCAGAACTCTGGTGCTGGGATTTTGGGGTGGGGGAGGGCACAGACCTGAGAACTTAGGGTACTCCCCATTCACCTCCTCACTGATCTGCCCTGCAGGCCAGTGGCACAGTGATGCCTTTGCCCAGGTGAACCCCCTGAGGAAGGTACTGAGCCTTGAAGGATGGGGCCTTCACCTTGGCTGAGAGGTAGCAGGTCCCTGGGCTGCTGCTGGGCCTTGTGGGGCCAGTCAGTCATGTCTGTCTGCTCACTATTGATGGCTTGAATCATGGACTGTGTGCCCTGCACCAGTCCCAAGATGAAGAATGGGCAGGCAGAGGTTCCCAGGGTTGAGAGGGGCTATAGAAGTACCCTCCTGCATTGTACAAATGAGGAAACTGAGGCTGGAGGAGGGGAGGGGCTTGCACAAGCTCAATTGGCTTCCAGGCCTCCTCACCACTACCCAACTCTCAGAAGGAAGGAGAGTACTACATTTTTAGCAGCACTTGTACCGGGCTTCTTAGTGCTACCATTTTAGTATC